AGGGAATTAAAGAAGCTATTGTCATGAATTAATGTTTATTATTACAGATATCCGTTAAAATTGCTAGTGAGAATTTAAAAAAATAATGATCCTATGTCTGGAGGTGGACGCAAAAAGACTATGGCAAAAGTAAAAACTTGTAAGATAACGTTCTCAATACACTCATAAAATTAATCTTCAAAAATGTCATTAGAAGAAATTGAAATAAAATTATCAAATTCTCTTACCTATTTTTACCAATTAATTTTTAATTTTATTAATGCATCAAACTATGTAAGCTGAACTATCAATACTTCAAATAATTACGATTATTGATTTCAAATTACTTACCTAAAATTTAATATGCTTTTTTTATATTCTAAAAATATCATTTCTCATTTAAATAACTCGACAAAAAAACTACCATTCAATTTTTCCCTCACGTGTGGCTAGAGTCGAATGGAACTTGCTAATAGACATCATTTCTAATCAAATGTGTCGTCATAAGATGTCTTACGTCAATAAAAGTACTTATGAAGCCATGATCATTATTTCTTTTCAAAGAGTTAAAAGTAATCTTTCTCAGTCACCAAACTGAACGTCTTAAAATTCACTTATTTTACTAACTACCGCATAAATCTATTGTCCTGGCATCCATATCCTTTATGGCCACCGACATTCCACGTAAAGTTCACATCCTCCACATCCACTTCAGACTGTTCATGGAGTGGTCGACAAAGTCGTGAATGTTTCAAGATGGAGTGCAGAATGCAGCTGCTACATGTCAGTTATCCTTCTTCGTGTTTTATAATAGACCTAGACAGAAGGGGAGATAGCAATCTAGGACGACACAGTCTGCATAGCAACTCTTCTGCGAAGCACTGGCGAGCTGATTGACAGGAATGCGCGCAACGCACTGGACGCCAAACGCACAAGGCGCGCCGCGCTCTGAGTTAAGAGGTTTCTCTGGACAATATTTTCTAAGAACGGCAATATTCAGGGCAGGTTCTCATAATATTACCAAGAATGTTCTGTAATTCTATCTCAAAGAGTAATGTAAATGGTGGAACTCGGCAAGATCTCGAGTTCCATGGAATTGATTTAATTCAAAGATTTCATTAAACACATTATGTTTTTGTGAGTCTATTACTGAAGCAAATAAAATATTAGGTTCCTAATAATTCTCTTCGTGGACCGGATAATATTCTATTAATGTAAACTCTTGGTTGTAGAAACAAAGCAACTCCGCTTTTTCTTTTTTATACTTCATTCTTCGTGTATTATGTCATGCCAAATGGATATTGTCCGTGCTTGTAAAGAAAGAAAAGAGTTCTCTAAATAAGTAATATATTAATAATCGTGTGTAATGAACTTATTATATACTTACTTATTTGACAAATGAGTTATATTCATGTAGAACGTTCTTTTGACGTCTTTAATTAACATTAGTATATTTGTCCTTTATGAGATATATTTCTTGAATATTTGTTTCAAATTAATTTTTGTAGTTATATTGAAGAGTATTCTGCCTGGTGTGTTGAACAAAACTGACATTGGCTATTGAACATAGCACAAATAATAAAATCGGAAACAAGCATTAAATAAATCGCTCAGCGTACTATTGTAAAGTTTGACTGACCTGCGTAATTCCAGGGGTTAATATTTTCTGTTCGACTAAATGATCCCCGATTCACACGTATTCACATTTTACTTGAGTCCCCTACTTTTCACATCAGGCGCATCATTAGGTGCTGTGGACGCAAGACGCCTCCGCCGCGATCGCGGCGCATGGGGCACGGCCGTGCGGAGCGTCGGGTCGCGTGGCCCTCGTCGCGGCGCTGCTGCTGGCGTGGGGCGTGCCGGCCAGGCCGGAGCGGCGCGGCGGAGACATGCGCGACACGGGCGGCGGCGGCGGCGCGCGCGGCGCTGTCGCCGCCTCAGCGCCCTGAACCACATACCGCGCGCGGGTCAGGATGAGGGCGGCGGACAAGCGGCCGGCTCCCGCCCCGCCGCCCCGACCCCCACCCCTGCCCCGCCCCGCTCCGCACTCGCACCCACTCGCCGCCTCCGTCCCCGCCACCGCACCGCTCTGCTGCTGCCGCCGCGACGCAGAGATTTAACTGCTCTGGAGCGGCCGGGCTCCCCGAAAGTACAGAGCGAAAACTACTGTCAGGTCATTCGTTCGTCGGGAATGCCATTGCATATTGGTCCCTGCGAAGCCAAGGGACATTTTACTAAATCATGGAAAGCTTTTTGTTTCGAATTGATAGATCATCAAGATCTACAACATTCCAGGAACCATAGGAGCAATGCATTTGTCGTCTGATGAAAAACACTTTCATGCGCACACTTGTAACAAAAATATTTACTTAACTTTCAAAATAACTTATTCTAAAAATAATTTAATTACACTTACGTTCAGTCAATTTAAATTAAAAAATAACTGGAGAACTCAAATATTTCTTCTAAATAAAATACCGTGAAACTCATACTCTCAAGGATATTTAAAATATATAAAGTTACAAAGGAACCTAAATATTTCTAATATATAAGACTGTAGTTAAATAAATCATTTTCGTTCTATTTTTATTCTATAGAGGTTAAAACTAGAGGATGAATTTTTCTTAGAGGAAAAATCTTCACGGTTGTATAGTATAAATAATCCGTCCGAATATTTTCATTTGCGAATTATTTTGTATCTCAAATTTCTTTTAAAAATCTTTCTAAAATTATACCCCAGCCACGATAACTCACAACAACATTTCAATTTTTACTGTAAGACAAACGGAATAAATGAAAATATGCGTGCATAAAATGGAAGTTAGCATGAGAAACGTCAGTTGAAAAGTTTTCCCAATAATTTGGTATCAGAGACAGTGTCTGAACGATCGTTCTAGTTTGAAAAAGCATACTTAATGCTTGTTTGCAAAATATAGCGTTATGTAGAAAAAACCAAAATCGAAAAAAGCTGAGGCAAAAAATGAGTCAACACTAAATGGAAGCCATAAGATGAAGTTGGTTAGGGGAAGAATATATGGGAATTATGTGCATTCAATATGAATCCTCATAAAACCATTAGTTTACAATTAAATATATGAGTTCGATCGTTTTGTTCTGTCTGCCGAGTTTTGAAAAGTTTCAAGAGTGACTCATTTTAAGGTTTTAATATATCGTGTGATGATGCAAATGTATGTGAGAAGCCCTGCTACTATCACATTACGAGTAGGAAGGTTATTTATTAATGAGTTAAAACAATAAGTTAAACAACGTTTACTTTATGATTATCTTTATGTAAAGTAATGAAACTAAATGAACCCCAACAGAAATAACTGTAAAAAAAAGTAACGATGTAAAGCCCGAGATCTTCTTAATCGTTGTTTTCGAAGCTGAAAAATTCTTGAAGAAGTGCGTGCTTGCAGACTCTACAAACCATGATTAGGACAAGCACTTCAGTATTTTCAGCCCACAACATCGCGTTCATCACGCAACGAAAAACCATCAACTGTAACCTTGCTACCGTCTTCACTAGCTTTCCATCGCCTCAAGACCCCACATCCCACATCACAATTACCACTATCACCTCATCTCCATCGCCTCTATCCTGACGTCGACGTGCCCGTCTTCTTCAAAGTTTTCTATCCACAATACGGTTCTTCACCGCCCCGAATACCATCCCAAGGACATGCACCACCATGATCCCTGTCCTCCATCGCCCCACGTGACACCCACCGACCCCCACCACTCGTGGACTCCGCAGGCCGCCCGGAACCGAGAATTTTGAGTAGCGTCGTGGGCGGCGCCGGACGTAGACGGCAAATCGGGCAGGTCCTTGGACAGCCGCCGCCGCCGACCGCCCTCTCACCACCGCCGCGGCACCACGACGCCGCTACCGCGCCCCCTCCCCGCCAAACACCCCGCTCCCCGCCCCCCCGCTCCCCGCCCCCCGCTCCCCGCAGCCGTCGACTCCGGAAGCTACGCGTACAACCAAGAGCGAACGGTTCCGCCTTGCAGAGCCACGCTCTGCTCGTGGACCCGGCCTAGATGGAAAGATTGGGAGCTGTGGCTGCTCGGGACCACTTACTCTTCGTAATGCAGGGGAATGGGCTGCACGAACCGGCGTTTGTTTACTTGCAAGGAACGCGTGCTCTGTTTGGTTATGCATGTAGGTAGGGTGATGAATGCGTGTTCCTACTTGGCAGCTGAACATTGTAGTAACGATTCCCGACTTAAGCTCACGAAGGCGGGATTAATATCAATGCTTTGACCCCAAATGCCTCTCGATTCATACGTATTGCTGGGTACAAGCATGAGCTCACTGGGCGTGGTAGGCGTGTGTTTACTAGAACCGGTTACGACATGTATCAAAATGCAAATATTCTGAGATTCGTGATAGTCGGTGTTAATCAGAATATATTTTTCATATAAGCTGATGTACTGTTAGAATTCAATTATATCAAAAGTAATCAGTATAAGAATGTGTATTCGCGTCAGAGTTTTCATTTCTAAGATTCTCCAATTTTCGGTGTTACCTGTAGACACTTCAGTATGTACCTTATTGTCTCTTTTCCGCGGCTTTGATGCGATGGAGAGACCATTTGGGGTGAATACCAGAATTCGAAAGATTAGAACGGGAAAGGATGTAGGTATTGTAATGGCGTAAAGGCCTTCGGCCTAGCCACATAGGATCAAGTAAGCTAATTTGTTTGTAATATTTACCTATTAAATAAAAATAAAATAATGTATTGACAAACGTTTCCCTAGGTGATTCATGATATTTTTGGAAGTAATATTTATTATAGGTTAATTATTTGATTAATTTTGTCTCACAGTACCATGTGTTATAACTAGAGTGGTTTCACTTCCTTCACTTCTAAATATCTATTTTTTTAATACATTTAAATATATTTTCTGAATTTGTGTTCATATGCCAGTGAACATCGGGTTAGTAACATTTTAATTATTTGTCTTTCCAATGTCTAGGCCAAATTTCCAGCTGTCACAAACAAAAGTAGTGTAAAAAGATGACGGTGTGTTTCTTTACAAAATCTTTTTAGACAACGAGAATGTTGGAAAATGACATGAATTGCGACGAAGCAACTGTTGTAGAATGTTTCAACCCAAAGAACTCAAATCTTAGGAAAGTCGATTACCGGATGATGTAGTACTTGTGGAGGTTTTAAACAAAAATTTCCTTCAACTGACTGGAGAACGCACGATCGTCTTCTGACACAACCTTGATCCAGACGCAGAAGCGGATGCAACTAACAAATTGATCTTGTTTCTGAAGAATGCAAGCTCTCGAATGAAAGACTGCCCCGGATCTTGAGATAGTGCATGCAACCGCCGGTTACAGTCACCTAAGTCTCAAGGAGCTCCACCGCCAGGTGGCAAACCTTCGGGAAAGTTGGGTACGTACCATGTCTACCTCCGTGCGATCAGGAATATTACTGTCGACGAATGTGACTAATTCCCAGGAACGAAAGAAGTTGGAAAGGATATACACGTTCAGTGTTCAGTAGAATGAGTGAACTAATTAAAGATATTACACATAATACGATGAAACATCGTATACTTTCGCCTGAAGAAGTTTCACGCGATCGTTATAAATAGCCAGTGGCCCCCAGAGCGAAAGGGGCGTGACCTTTGGCGAGCTGCTCCGACGCGGAACGCGATGATGGAAACGCGCGTGTCGGAACCGCCGCGAATGGGTAAGACGAGCTTTGCCGCGTCCTGCTTGAAAGTAAACGCGTGAAAGAAGTAAAAAGAAATGAAAAGGTCCTATGTATAATACGATTATGAATAGGGAATGTGTCTGTTTTTTTAATAAATTGTTAAACGACATCTACTTATCTTCTCAATACTTATGAAAATAATATAATATGTATCCTATGGGAAAGATCTGGAACAACACTGTAACAATTTAAGCACGGAGATCATCGTATTAGTTGTTTCTTGGAAGCTGAAAATTCTACAAGAAAGCAAATTTCTCGCAGGATCATCAACCATGATTTATAGACCAGTACTTTGTCTTCAGTCTTTTCAGCCACAACCTCTCGTTCTTCACCGCAATGAAAACCACCAACTGTGACCATGCTACTGTGATCCCTAAGCCTTCCATCGCCTCGAGTGATCCACCATGTGACCACCACCACCACTACCACTATGATTCCTATCTCACCACTCCGACATCGTCGACATTGTACCAGATTAAATGGATCGTGGAATCAATTGATGTCACTGCAATACCTCTGATCAGGAGGTCCTTGGGCTTGTGTTTCAACGGTGGCAAGATTTTCGACACTAGCTGGATAGCTCGGTCGAATTAAGCTGCCTCTGGTGGAGAATTCCAAAGACCGGCTGCTCTGATCGGTATTACTTTCCACGATTTCTCCGATCAACGCCAGGCATATACCGGAGCAGTACCGTAACAAACGGTCCACGGACCGTGTTCGATTTTCCTACATCTTCCTTGTTCTATACCCACACCTTACACATATACACTTACGTGCACTACACTCCCGCACATGCCGGCAGATCAATCGGTAGCTTAGAGCTGGTCACAGCTGGAGCGGTGTCCCGCTGGAGAGAGATACCTGGTTGAGGAAAACATCGCTAGCCGACATTTGCGTCAGCGCTGAATCTCGCCATTCAACGTGGGAAGATCGCCGCGGCGCTACGCGATGAAACATACTCCACAGTTACGGGACTAACGACCTTAGTAGTTGACGCTGTCGCAAACACTAATCAATCAGTGGTCGCCGTCTTGGCCGCAGTCATCTTTAAGAAGGCGCTGGCCGCGCCCATTAAGAGAGAGTTCCGCGATACAGAGAGTAGCGTATTCTTCAATTAGATCGCTGGTGGGGTTCACCTTCTAATATTTAAGTTTGGTAAATAACCCCCCTAACACCCCTAACCCCCTTAACTCCATTCGCCTTCGCTCGCCCAACCTCTCCTCACGCCTCCACTGGTACCCCCGCGTCTCACGACCCTTCGCCCTCACCACACCCCTCTTCCCGCCCCCACCTGCTGCCGACCGACGCTCTGTTCTTGAACTAGACACACTCTCTAAAAACCGCAGAATTGTTATCGGCCCGGAAGCTGCAAGCTAGCTGCGGTACGACTCAGTTTGCAAAATCATCTGGCAAGCATTTTTCTATATTTTATATATAATATTTATATTAACTTTTCCCTAATTGTTTATAGTTCATGTAATAATATAATTTAATTTCGATAATTCTAATTTCAGTTATGTTGATGATCGCTATGCGATCGAAACTATCATTAGCAAAATAAATAGTTGATACCAGACAATAGCTTTTTTTATCATACTTAAGTAGCGTATTCCTTTGCGCCACCAATTCCGCCATTTTATATACACTTGTCAAAAGAGTTCGAACGTGTGATATACTATATTGGGAGCCACACATCTATCCAAAATACGTTTTAAAATATGAATGTGCTCTAAATTATTCATCTCGCCTCCAATTGTTATTATTTCTCCTGATCAACAGATATTTTTTCCTGGCGGGTCCACCCGGTTGGACGTTGTTAAGTGGCGCGGTTGCGCTGCTTTCTGCGTCTAGGATTCTGCGCAGCGCCGCCGCGGGGCCACCTGCGTGAAGCGTGACTCAACGGCGAAGCCCTCGACGCCGCAGTGGGAACCAACCGCCACTGAACTTGTGGCGACTGGACGCACCTCACTGCGCAGCGCCGCGCCGGCCGGTTGCTTCAGACCTGCGTTTCCGCGTGGAGATTCCGCTTTTGGCGTCTGAAGCAATGCTGCTGTTTCTCAACGTGTGGTCCGTGGACAACTTTGTTTTCGTATGGACTCGTCGTCACGATGGGATCGTAAGAACAAAATTGTTTTTTGTTTGTTTTTAATTGAAAAATATTGTAGATTAATTCGAAAGTAAAATGGCTCTGTATATAGGAATGTTGTATAGGTTGATCCGGGAGGAAAACTTCTATTAGTTCTTGTAGTTTGTAAATTTTTACTTGTTGTTCTTATATCTATTCTTCTTTTCGACATTTTCTTTTCCTTCTTACTTTATTTGCTTTTTCATCTTTCCCTTAATATTTCTTTTCTTCTACATATTTTCCTTGTCCTCGTTTCTCTTCAAGATTCCTTCTTTTTTTGTTATTCGCTTATTTTTTCTTCAAAAACACTGCGATTTTCATCACTCCCAAGACTTAATCTTCGTCAGAGCTCAAAGTTTTTCGAACATTTTTTGAAGATCGGAACAATTTTTTTCTAGTTTTAACAAATGGATCCACGCTACAACCGCAATTTCGAAGAGTTAATAATAATGTTTGCTCTAAAAATAAGTCTTCATTATCTGATACTTATTTAATCATGTTTTTCATACTTTTCTTAAAGTAAATTCCTCCAGGACCTCAAAGAAAGAAACTATTTAACCCCAGCAGGTTAATTAAGCTGTCGGAGAGGTGGCAATTAATATTTATAACAAGACGAAGTAGACCTTAAAACCTAATACAAATCGCTAGTTATTTCTCAATAGTTATTTTTGCCTTTCTCAAAACTCACTTCACAAACACTAAAAATAGTAGGTGATGTGCCAAAGAATTGCCTGAATTAATTTTCAGTTTTTTTAATGAAGAAATTACGGATATTTGCTTCAGGTGAATACTTTAATCTTGGTTTTTCAATTCCTCCACATTCTCTCGTCTAATTCAATGCACTTAATTTCATATAAAATGTTAGATTGAAGATTCACCGAGAAATCACCCGTGCCCTGACGTCCGTCATTTTATATCGTAAAAATTAAAAAAACGTGTTCCAACATATTATCCTTGTTGAAACGCTATGAAGGTAATACTATAAGAATTATTTTAAAATGTCTTTGTTTCGATGCTAAATTATTTCTCGAATTCTCTTCTTAAAACCATCTCACCAAACACTGTTCGTGGTTTCAAGGTCTGCCAACGTTCCATTTTACGACAGTGACAAATGTAATCGCCAGGGTAACCTTCCTTCTCAATCTCCGACAGCACTGAACTGATTCAACCGCGGTCGTCGCTAGTCCCAGCTTCCGTGTCGGTGTCATTCCGCTCTCGATTCAGAATGCATTCGCACACGACGCATGTTCACACGCTCGCGCATTCCCACGCATCTGTCGCAAACACTGCTGGCCTGTGACTCAGCCTCCCGCAACAGTTTGTATCTTCGAGGTTGCAATTCAAGGTTTGTTTTCAAACGTACTTGAAATTAGTGGTGTAAGCTGGGCTGACCAGTTATTAGGCATACGTAACCCGAGCATATCTAATATGCCTTGCGGTTGAGGAAATAGTGTAAGATGAATATTACTATGTCGGATACAATACGAAACGGATTATAGTACATTACACAATAAACTATACGTTTTTAGCCGACTGGATAGCTGAGGTTGCTAAGGCTAAAGGGGCGTAGTTATCTCGGCTCAAAGGGGCGAATCCAGCCTCGGGCATCGATGTTTGTCTGTGTTCGTGTTGTCCATTGGTGTTTATCCTACAGTTACCCCTACAGTTAAAACAATGGCAGTGGTTACTATATGACCCAGATGTTAAAAGGGAACTTAACAATTTCATTTTTAGATCTCTTTAAAGGGGACTTAGCTGTTGTAAAATATATCGTGCAGTTCCACATTAAACCATTACACACGCAAGGCTTAAACTACTCAGAGGATTGAGCAAAGAGCATGTTGCCGACAATTGTTGTTTTTTAATAACAAATTACGGTTCTTCTTCTTTCTATACATTCACTTTTTCTTTTACTTTCAGACCCGCTCAGTTCAGCGTGTGTCAGTGTCATCTGAAGTCAACTGAATCACTTACAGGTAATAGTGCTAATTGATTTACTTTTAGAGATTTAACAACTTTGACAATTTCTTTCTGTTCTGCAAGCCCATGAAAGATTATCCATGCAACTCAGCGTAGGGAAAAAGTGTGGCTATTCATGGAAGATACTCGATCTAATACATGAATAGTACTTTATAGTTATGGGCTGCGCAAATAAAAGAAATTAACACTTGAAGTAAGATAGACACTTCAAGAACCACATTGAAAATTGCTGTTTTATCGAATTTCATAGTCGGCAATTCGTTTATATCTCTGTGAAAGTGATTTTCAGATTTAAGAATTAATCTGCGATCGTATTTGATCAAAGTGGATTGATCAACATTTGTATTTTTTACGAGATTATCACAGAAAACATTCCACTTTCTAACGACGAACGGTTGACCTCGCACCTTCCATATGATACGCAAGAGAGAACTGGCACAGCACAACAGATTCACAACTAGTGCCAAGTGACTTTTGAAAGATTTCAAAAAATGTATTTTTAAAGTCGCCTGCAGATTTTACGAGTATTAATCTAATATTTGGGAACGTTTCCTATTCACATCTTGAAGAACATTTCGATTTTGAAAAAATGAATTTATATTTCTGAATATTCCTGTACTTCACAAATTCAGGTGTACCCTCCTCGTACTGAACTGTGACAATTTCGGCCCCACGCAGCCTGCGTCGCTCGTGCATTGTTCCCAGCCAGCGTGTCCTACCGTCCTTGGAGGGCCTCCGGCCGGCCGGCTGTCGCGCAATCCGTCAAAAGGTCTCGCGCGATCCTATCGAGGCGGCATTGGCTGGCGCGCAGGCCCGCGGGGGCCGCTAAACGGGAGGGGCGGAGGGGCGGGCGGGCGGGGGCCATCTACACACCCGACGCCTATTCCCGCCGCGATTTACATGCGTTCAACCCCTCCCCTCCTCTTCCCCCCGCGCGGGTCACGAGGTCAGGGCTGGCCGGCGCGCGGCCTCCGCGCAATCACTCAAAATCGGAACTCGCGCCTCCAACGCGGCGCAGGGATACTGCGTGGGAGGAGACACCTGCCACCCCAACGCCTGCGCGTGGGCTGGTCGCTCACAAATTGTTTCCTGATTGGCTTTGTTTGGGTTTCTCGGAGATACGGCAGGCGAGCACACTTTGAAGGAAAACTAAAAGTGGATATTACATCTTCTCTGACTCGCTCGCAACTCACCTTCATTATCATTACCTCGTCAACTTGAATTACATCATTCTTACGTTTTTGCCCTCAGAATTGATGGCATACGCATTTAGATTAATAGCATTTAAGCTCTTACGCCGGGTAATAAATTAACTATATAAATAATAAATATAGAGAAATTAATAAAAAAAATTAATAAATAATATAAATAAACAAAAATAACGAATACAAATTTTATAACTTAAATTTAAAATATATAAATTTTATAAGTAAATAAAAGAATCAAGTGATGACGAAGAAGGAAACTCGAAAGTCAGAATGAAGTTTTCGATATTTTTGACTCTGATCTCCGCTAGTGAAAAGGTTCTTTGTTTCCATTTTTAGCACATTGTTTGGGCTGTTTGTTTTAGAATTTTGCTTTTAATACTTTAGACTTGCTTTTATAACTACCGAAGCGTCTGTTTCTTAAAGTAAAATGTCAACTGAGTTTCCTTCTATAGTTAATTTATTTTAAAATTCATATTTTGGTTGGGTCGTGGGAACCCCGTCGACTTTTTTAAGATCTTCGTGTCAATTTTACGTAACTGCATAGACTTTACCGTCACACACTTTTCTTTTTAATTTTAATTTTAAATCACCTACAATTATTTTCATTATTTTATTATTTTACCTTTCTATGTAGTCATCTCTTACAATGGGGTGTAAATACATTAAAACAAAACGACAACGGTGTGAATACTTCAATTATGATTTTTAGGCATCATCGCTTTTTATTGTCAAATGATGTATATTAGCAATTTAGCTAGAGTTGACGATGATGTTACTTTGATGTACAAATGAATCAAGTCGCAAAACATCAACTCTATAAGTGCATTCTTTGCTTTGATACTGTTTCTGATTATGTTAAAGTGTTGTCAAATGAATTGAAATTTATTTCCTTTGCATGGTTGTAGCCACCTGATTGGTAATTGTATACTAATTATATTTTTTATTCCATTTTATTTTCGGAATCAGACATTTTTGAATCTTTCTTTGCCTTCGAGAGAGTATCCAAGATTCAAAGATTTTGTACTTGATGGCGTGAAAATACTCCACTGTTTTTTCTTCAATTAATCATTGTTGTTTTCTTGTTTTGCTTTTTGTTTATTTGTTACTGCAATTGTATGTGTTTTCATTCGCAAAGTCGCTAACCGAGCTACAAATCTACATGAAAGATATTTTCAGCGAACATTAAATTATATTCACAGAAATGAGACAGGATATGCGAAGTGAAAACAAAAGCTACGGCACAGAAATTTCAAAGACTGGAAAAAGAACTCCAAAGTTCAAAACTAGTCTGTTACAAAGACAGCTGATCTTACCCTAAATACGTGTATACGACTTTGGAGTCTTCTTTAGAAATTTTCGGAAAATTTGACATATTTAACCGCCTGTTTTACAATATTTTAAAACAATTTTAATCTTTAAGTATAGTTTCTGATTCATTTTTATTGTTTTCACTAAATTTAGTTTTAATAACGTTTATAGAATTTTAAATTTATCCTAAAATTATATATGTAATGGATTACATTCAATTATAAATATTTAAACTCAAAAAAAATAATAGAAATGTTTTTAACGAATTTGATATGCAGATCTAGAAGTAACTGTGGGCGCGAATTCAGCACACTACTTATTCATTCAACAAGCACACAATATTGAAATTTTGACCTTATTATGTAGGAAAAGTTCGTAATAATTAAAAAAAAATATTACGCTATTCCCTCGAGGTTGTTTTTTCTTCAATTTTAGGTATGAAAGATGAGATGTGCAGTGATCTCTAGTTTGGGTATCGGTATTATCTGGCGGCACCTGAAAAACGTATCTTTGAAAAACACAGAAATTAGAGTACTCTAACCCTGTTTCTTGAAACTGCTTTTGTAAATACTTCAGTGTTCATGTATTTGTTTCTCTAATATGTTATTCGTTTACACACTGTTTCCTTGGTTACGATGCTGTGCGAGTACGTTATGTACCGAAGTATAAAAGTCTTTCCCAAATGCAGTACTTAGTTAAATTTACGAGCATTTTAGAACTGCAGAAATGACTACCAACCGCAGTACACTGGTCAGTCTTTCAGACCTTCGCGTGTTGGTCGTGTATTTTCAAGTTAGGTCTAGTTTATCGTTATTGTTTCGAGGTGTACTGGATCAAATGCCCGAAGGTTAAGGTGATATACTCCGAGATACAGAACGTGTTGGCGTAATGATTGATTATTTTTCTTCCGAGGTCGTTGCAGAAGGCCACTGTATATTGCAAATAAAATATCTAGTTACACATGTAATTGTTTTCTTAGTTTTTTGTTTTAATGGCTTAAATAAACTAGTTAAACTAGTTTCAAATAATGTTTAAAAATAAAATGTACTTAAGTATTGAATATATTTTCTGAGGGACTCAGGAAATATGTGAATTCACTATATCCAAAGCTTTATACATTTTTCAAAAACCCCTCTGGATGCTATCATCACTTTCATAAACGAGATACATTTAGTTACAATGACGAATAAAATATATTGTCTATTTACAAAAGAATTACATTTTCCAGTGAATTAAGTTCATCATACCCTGTGCATATGACTATTTTTATTGGTAATAACGGCTACATTTTAATTTCTAGAGAAAATTAATGTCGCAACAGAAGGCTCTGAGTACAGATGCAGCGTCTTTATCAATTATTATACATATACTTTTGTACTGCAAGTTTTGTTTGTCAGAAGAGGTTGTGTTGTTACATAAGTTTCATTGATTTTCTGTACATTAGTAATTACTTAACTTTTTATATTCAAAATACCTTACAGTACAAATTTAAATTAAATCATTTTTCTCAAGATTTCATGTAGCAATGAAGTCTCACTGAAATTAAAAAAGCACATTATCTACCGCTAAAGTCTTCAGATCCAGTTCTAGAAGAATGATCGCCCTATTAATATTGTCATCGCCTTCATTCGAGCGGTGCTCTTCCGCACTTTTTATCATCGTTTTACTGCCTCTGCCCTTCCCTATTTTCCCAATTTCACGGCAGCCACCGACCAAAACCTCAGGCGCTAGAACCAACGCGCTTTCTTTCAACATAAACATAAGGGGGTCTCAACTACAATTCAGCTCATGTGAAATTAGTATTAGTGGCAGAACCTTACCAAGCTTTTCACGGGATACATCATAATATTTAGTAGGTTAGTTTCATCATCATAATTTCAGATTATGAAAAACACAATTTTCTTTTTTTTCATTGAAATATTTCCTAACTCTTCACATCATTTCGTTTCTTATTACAGCAAAATATTAGAATAATGAAGATAATGTCGTTTAATGTAAAGGCCGTTTGGCACTACCTTTTCTGCATCACAACTTTTTCTATACAATTAGTGACTGTACCGATTATCCAAAAGGAAAGCAATATTAATTTTAACAACGCCATTAGTGTTTTATTTACCATTTGGATTGTACAATTCTAAAGAACGTGTAACAAGTAATGTACTTCAGCTTCAGGGTCAATGACCCCCATCTCGATCAGGTTTTCGTCCAGATACCCTGATCCTTCAGCAAATGCAAATCATCAGCATCAGTAAATGCATCAGCAAATGCTGAGATGGCCCCTTGTCTTGCTTCTAGACGTAAATGTAACTTCAAATTAACTTCTCCCCATAGCACGTCACATACAGTTGTTAACTGTTTTTGACGTAAATAAATAAATACATATTGAACGGTATGTTTGCATCGGTTTTTGCCGGGGCTGTTGCTGGCGCCTTTGTCAGAGGTTCCGCCGCCGCCGCCAGC